TAAAATAGTTGCAATATATATTTCAACATTATAAATTGCAACATATATAAGTCAAAACTAATTGCTACTTATGTTGTAACATTAAAAGCTGCAACATATTAATTATGGTTCTCATCTTTAACCTTATCAGTTTCTCATCAATTCTATGATATTGTTAATGATAGTCTTATTATGACACATGATACTGTGTAAAATATAATTAAAAAATTGTAATTTTAACAATTATGATTCTCAACTTACTACCATTTCTTTGATTTTTTAATTTCACTAATTTTTTAGCGATCTCTAATTTTACACATTTCTTTAATATACTTAATTTCTTTATTTATTATATTTCTTATATTTCTTTACTATATTAAATATCTATTTATATTGATGTATTTTATATAAATATCTTGTATTTCTGCCTCAATAAATGGCAGAGTCATTACCAATTCTCTAATAAATCATTAACATTTATTTTTAAAACTTATCTTTGCTCATAAAAATAATTTATTCTTCTTTAAATCTATATCAATAAATATGATCTGACTCTTCAATTTAATTATTTGTGTTTATTTCTTTTATAGTTTAGAAGTACTTAAACTCCTTGCTAGCAAATAATCTTTGTTAACTTAACGATGAATAGTTTAAGCTTAACAATACTATCATAATACCACTATGATGCTAAGTTGAATCCTCAAATCATATATTCTAAAGATCAGCTAAAATTATGATATAGAGCTGGCTAAAATTAACTATGAATTTACTGTGCTATCTGACGTATTTTTTTATCATAATTTGTCATTTTAATAGGTAATCAAGTAGGAACAAAGGATAAGCATCTCAATATAAAATTGAAAACCTATTCAGATATAGGAGGCCAGTACTCTTAACATAAAATCAGATATTTAAATAGCTATAAAAGGTTAACAACTCCAATATAGAATTTGATATATAAATGACTCAGAAATAAGAAGAAAATAATTACCACTAGATCATATAATACTATTAGATTTAAGTATTATTAGTCACTATTAGATTATAAAACTATCATAATAATATACAATAAATAGTTAAAGTAATAACTAAAAATTCAAAAGATACCTAAAGAATAAATCAGATTGATTGTGAAATCACCGTTAGATCACAATATTAGATTAGGACATTACTATTAAATTATAACCTTAGACTGTAGTATTCCAATTAGACCATAATATCACAAATAGATTGTAACGTTTCAATTAGACTATAATGTCACAAATAGACTGTAGTATTCCAATTAGATCATGTCTATTACTGCTATAATCTAATTCAAGTTGTCAGTGATTCTTAGATATAATTATATCTAAGAATCACCAAAGACTAAGATTATCATATTTTATATAACTTTTTGTTTTATAAATTTTTCAAAAATTTTTATATCTTGGTTGGTAGAATCTAAAAATATCTTACACATATTAATTGCAAATGCAATTTTAATATCAGGGATATTTTTAAATAAATAAAGTTCTATTTTTATTTTTTTTATAAAGTTATAAATCATAAAATATATAAAAAAGCGAAAATAATAATAATAATAATAAATTATAAATGATTAAAAAAATATATTTTTTTTTAAAATAATTCTGATAGTAAATTATATAATATATAATATAAATATAAATTTGTTTTAAAAAATTTCAAATAAACAATTTTATTTTACTTCTATTTACCATTAATTAAAAGGTAAGTGATCTTTAAAAAAAAATTACCTTTTTGTACCTTTAAAACTATATCTTGATTTTCAAAAAAAAATTATACAATTATAAAAATATACATAATATTGCGGAAGATAACGTAATTTTATCTAATTTAGATTTTAATAATATAGAAAAACTCATTATTGTTAGAAAGAAACAGGTAACTATTAAGAGTCATGTTAAGAGTAACTTGATGTCTAATGACTTAATATCAGAAGTAACTATACAAAAGCTAATTTTAAGAGTATAAATAGACAGAAAATGAAACTAGCTAAAAGGAATACATGAAATGAAATAATACATAAAATCTTTTTAGAAAAGGTGGAATCTAAAGATAAAAATTGTATAATATTGATGATGTACTATTAAAATTGAGATATAGATCATATGATTTACTATGTCTCATGCCTCAATTTTAATAGCATACTACCCATATACTTTATGTCAAAAGTTACGCATAAACGTTTTCAGAATAGCACCTGCATCTAAGTAATACAGATTTATATTAAGGGATGACAATGAAGGAAAGCAAGCATATTTATATTATATTTACAATTAAAATATATATAAAAAAATAAGAATTTTTTAACTAAAATCAGTAACCTGATCATCAAAAAAATGCATTTATAATGAAAAAGTAACATCTAAAATACTATAAATATCAATGAAAAATACCATCATCTGAATTACAAAAGACCATTGAGACCATTGATGAACAAGAAGTTCAGATTTTAGATTTGTCTATATTTAGCAAATAATTTATCAGAACTTCTTGAAGAAAATGAAAGGTTGAAAAATAAAGTTTCATTCTAACACATAAAATTGAATGATATAAATAATTACATTATATATGGAATTTTGGTGTAATACATTGAATTGATTATTAAAATTTATCATTATATTTATTTAAAAAAAATAAATAATATAAAAATAATAATATATAAATTAATAATAAATTAATTATATTAAATAAGGGTTTTTACTATTTCAAGATTTAACGTTAATATATAAAAATTACTTTTTTTGAAGCAACTTTAATGACAGTAATATCGGGTCTCTGGACGACCCTAACCCGACTCGAAATCTTAAATTCGGGTTAATAACCCGGGTCGACCTGACCGTTTCGGAGCACTAGATAATAGTTCTAGACAGTATTTTAAGCAAGAAAAAGTTATTAGATAGTTACCGAAGAAAAGCGAGTGAGAGATAGCGCTCTACGAAAAGGAATTTGATTGGTTGATAAATTTGTTCAAAAAATTATGATTTACTATTTCTCGGGACTACGACGTTACAGTATATGCGATTATTTTTTAGTTCGAATTTCATAATAACCAGTCGTTTTCGATTCGGTTCAAAATTGGTTGAACCGAACAGACCACCCTAATTAAAAAAACCGTGATGGTATTTAATCATTGATTGTATTGTATTTTGAAATTTTTAGAATGTTTATATTATATGTTTATAAGTGGCGAACTGCGCACCGGCGGCGTGAGCTTCCGTTCGAATTTTATAAATCGTTTATTATTGATTATATTCATTGATTTTCTTTTACCACGTAATTTTTTGAAATATTGACCATATTAGAAAATTATAAAACATTTGAATTGTTGTTACGTTTATTGCAGATCAATTTGTCTGGCCGACCAATATGTAATCATAATGCCTTCTGGATAATAAATCCTTGTTAAAATTAAGGTAGATTTTCGTCTAAAGAAAAGAGGAGGCTAGTAAGTTTGATGAAAAGAATTTAAGATAGGCATTTAGTTTTGAATTTTCATTGTAATAACGAAATCTTAATAACGAACGTAGCTTAATGCATAGAGCGCTGACGATTGAGTAATACCTTATTATGTTGTTTTAAATTAGTATTTCGATATTGATAATAAATTCAATTGAAAAAACACAAATATTTTACATTCGTATATAAATCTTAAAGAACTTCGCATCACAATATCATCGAATATAAGATTTATTTTTCTGCGGTACCGTTATAAATATGATGTTGTAGCAGCATGAATAAATAAATTTAAATATTCAATCAATAGTACACTCCACTTACGAAATTATTGATGTTATTCTGCGGTTACAAATTGAAGAATTAAAATCCATTGCAATTTGATTGTTACGCGATTAACAAAAGCGAAATATTAAATCGAATTTTTCTGTCGATCGATAACGAACGGTATAGATACTATTAAAGTGCTGTTTTGATGTTAAACCGTAATTTGAAACGTTTCTAAATCAGATATCCATTTTTCGCAGATAAAATTGGTCTTACGATAGAATTATCATGAAAACAAAGTCATGTTATTCTTAGTTTCCCATCACATATATTCGATAAGAATGCACATATGACAACATTAGTCACATGCCACTTAACTTTGAACGTGCGCCGTTAATTTTTTCACAATATTAAATAAATTTTCAATTTTATAACATGCTTTATTTTTGAATTGATTATTATTTATTATTGTTTGGTGTAACATAACCAGTTACTCAAAATCAATTAAGGTAAAAAATTATTTTTTTCATTTTAATTAGTAAAATATGAAACCGCTACGACCAATATATTTCTTGTTGCCTTAATGAGGTTGAATTCGAATTTGTCCAGGATATATCAAGGACACGATAGGATAAACTTTTGATGGAGGTTTTTTCCAAGTAGTAGCCACAGGATATTTTGTATCATTAACCGAAAATGCCAAGGTTTTCTCATCCATGTCCAGATGAACGGTTACCTTATCACCTTGTGAATAAGTTTCATTTCGTTTTAATTGACTATTATCATTCCAATAAATCCCAGCTCCACTGAAAACCCATCCATTACTTTGACGACCTGCGAATTCCTCGAAACTAAAATCTTCATTTGCGCAAATTCCAATATACATTCTTTTACAACCTTTATCAACGATCAGATCCCATTCATATTTACCACCATTCTCAATTAAAATCGTTCCTCGAACATTTTGTGCTGATTTACATGTGGCCAATGCTCTAACTATTAATCCCTCCCCTTCAACTGTAAGGTCTGATCCACATGCTGATTGTTCCCAAATAAAGTTCAACTTCGATACGCTGGTTGTTTGTATATCTGAAGGATTAATCTCACTTAATTGTAAGTTTTTTGGATCCGTTGTCTCAGGATAAGTTTCAAAAATTGGATTTCTGTTGATAGAGGGATATAAATTGCTTTGCTCACCGGTTGTAAATGATAAAGGTAAATTAAGATTAAAATTAAAATTATTCCTTGCATGAAATCTGTAGACATCTATAATTTTATCAGATGTAATAAGATTCAATGGTTCTATTATATCCGTTATGAACTTTCCTTCAATACGTCGAATATCAACAAATTCAAGCAAGGGATTTATTATTTCAAACAATTGTGGACGAAAACGATGGTACTCGGTATTATGTATACTGACGTTATTGGATTCCCGTGTGTCGTTTACTCTGTTCGGAATTGGCAAGTAATTATCAAGTATTTCAACCGCTTTCTTGGAAACTTGATGTGCTGAATGGATAATTATATATCGAAATACTTCATACTCTGTAGTCGCTAAAGATCTCCCTTTCTCCCTTGCGTACGTCAAAAGAAATTTTAGAGCCGTGAAGGTCAGTTGATTATATTCAATGGCGCTTATGGGTAGTGAAGATATACATTCGGCCAATAATTGAACGAGAGGATTCTTTTCTGATAATGGTAACTTGACAAGAGCTCTTGATAATAATTCTGGTGTAAAATAAGAATCGGTTGATGGTTGCAAAAAGAAACCTATAATCCTAACAATATATTCCAAGAGACTATTTAATTGGAAGTAATCTGCCGCGTGATAAATGTCAATCACGTCTTCATTTCTCATCTGTTGAACTGTACAAGAACCCGTGTATAAATAATTGAGTATAGCTTCCATAGCGGTGGATTTTATCTCGGGAAAATATATCCGATTCTCATGACTTTCTTTCATCTTGTTGTAAAGAATGCCATCAAAAACTTCGCATCTCGCTGCCAGTATCACCTTTGATGCATAAAAGCTTTTTCCATCTTCACACAGAATAGTAACATCGCTATATTTTGGACAGTTGACCACCATTCTCAAATCTTTGGCTAATGAAAAGCCCTTGCAGTTGTCCACAATTTGACTCGTTAAATAACTACGCCAAAAAAAAAATAAATAAATAAATTTTAAAAATTTAATATGTGTTAATATTAACATAGTTTTCGAAAAGTCGCATAAAAAAGAAAAATTGAACAGGTCAACTACCTCATTTTAAGCAGGTTGGGTGGAAATAATTTCTTTGGTTTATTTCGAAGAGCGAAGGCTTGGAAAAAAAATATTTATTCCATCCGATTTTTAGCTAAATTGAGTAAAAACCATATCGTGACTGATATTTCCTATTTTAGATAATTAAAAATAGATCTCCAAGAAATTATTAAAAAATTGAAAACCCAGGAATTTCATCGAAAATGACTACATGACTTCCATTAATAATTTTTTTTTTTAAAAAAAAAAAGTATTCTGGACTAAATCCTTCTTGATTTCTCACTTTCGAAATTTTATTTTTATTCTCAAAAGTAATTTTAAATTTCACGAATTTATTCTTCCGTTTGATATCCGAATCAATTCAATAAGTTTCAAAAGAACAAGTTTAGTTTCAAAATTTTTTCTATATTTCACGAAAACCTTTTAAACTTGTCTTTTCGGAATGAGATATTGCTTTGGATTTGTTTTTAAATATCAAAAGCTCAATTATATAATTTTTTAAACAAGATAAAAACACTAGCTACTGTATATTAGAAAGTCGATAAGTTTGTGCGCCAAAATCGAAAAAACTTTAATCGCCTAATCATACAACATAACCTCAGCAACATTCCATTGGTTTTTTAATTGGCAGGGAAGACGATCAAATTAGATAAAGTATTTGGATAGCAGGAAGTTTCCGCCTCGGTTTTGTTTATTGAAAAAAAAATCTTCAAATGTCAGGGTAACAATCTTTTTCTTTCTCTTAATTCAATTATGTTTCAAACAATCCCTGCGCAGGACAAAAAAATAGTCAACTTTCAAATGTCATGGAGCATGTCAAGATGTTTCGAAATAACATTTTTCTTCCAAGACATTTATTTCATTATTAATGACGTGATGTAACAGATAGATAATCAGATTTACTAAAATAATGGAGGTTACCAAGAGTTGTTGTTTGGTTAAATAGTAACGCTGAAGAAATAACAGGTAACAATCATTTTTACTTGGTGAGTCATAAAAATTTCAACAATGCAGCTTACTAATTAGATCATTGTCTTAAAAAGTAAAATTCAATTTAGAGATCGTAACGAACGGATTAAGTTTTCTTTGTTCTCGATACAATATAGTAAAGCTTATTCCGCAGTAAATGATTTGTAATCGGAATCGGCCAATCGATTTACGCATGCGGTAAGGTTTCTCAATGGCGCAAACTAATTGTCTGTGGTGTAACATATAAGAGCCAAGAAATTTTTATTCCCAAAAATGAATAAATGTAACTTTCTGACGATCGTCAATATTAATAAAAATATTTAAGGAGGTCAATTATTTTTCAAAAAAATCATATATTCTTTGCTTGCTTTACTTTTTTTTTTTAAAAAAATAATTTGCGCATTTTATTAACAAGCTCATCTATTCATAGGAAAAAAAATATATAAAGGAAAACCAAAATGACACGAAGATGTTCATTAGTTAAAGATCTTCGTAGATTAATCAATCATCAGAAATATAGTGACATTGAAATTATTTGTGAAGATGGAACAAAACTCTTTGGATGTAAGGCGATTCTTGCAGCCAGATCAGAAGTATTCGATAGAATGCTTTATAACGGGATGAAAGAGAGCTACGAGAAACAAATAATCTTTCCTGAAATTGATTCTTTGTCCATGGCTATCGTCATCGAATTTTTATATACCGGATGTAACGTAAACAACCCGTTGACGAACGAAAATATTGTTGGAGCGTATCATGCAGCAGATTATCTTCAACTTCCTGATCTTCAAGAAGTTATCATTGAAACTCTTAAAGAAACTTTAAATCAACGATTTTATGAGTGCATCGCACCTGAATTATTATCTCGAGCGATTGACAAAATGACGGAGTCAGCCGAAAATCTTTTCCTTACTTTACTGACAGAATCGGTAGCCAAAATTCCTTTAAATACCATCGATTATAGTAGACTTTCATTTACAGCTCTTCAATATTTATTATGTTACACTTTTGATAAGGAGAAACATTTTGCTACACCCGAATACGAAGTTTTAAGATTTGGCATTATTCAAGCGGCTTATCAAATCTCGAATGATGCGGCCATATCCCTTAAAAGTAGGTTACCAACTTTGAATAAGGCGGGAAACTTTTTGAAGTTTGATCCAAAATTAATTCACAATCAAGATATTGTTCACCGTTCAGAGATTGTCGAACTAGTAACGAATTTGGTTGATTTCATTGATTTTAGACGTATTGATGGAAAGATTTTGACAGATATTATTGATCCATTAGAAATGATTCCTTCCGAGATTATTGTCAGCGCATATCGATTTTTGATTAGTAATAAGAAAAATTTACCCGCTGTTAGAGGAATTCCCTACATCTGTGATAAATCGGGATTTGTTTGGGATAAGCAAGCCAGTGGGCCTCATTTGTCTATTGACAAGGATGGTGCGGTGGTTAAAGCATTAAGGGGATGCAAATTACATCAAAATGTTAAAGCAAAGGTTGAAATATTTGATAGGGGGATTTATGAGTGGGACGTTATCATTGAAAAGAGCTGTACTTTTGCGTGGGTAGGGATCTGTTCACCCGAAAATTTTAGATATGAGGGTTTCATTGGAGTTCAAGCAAACGGTTGGGTCTTTGGTTCAAATGGACAATGTTATAGCAATAATAATTGCATAACGTATGGCACAACTTTTGGTGAAGGTGATGTGATCACCGTTCATTTAGACATGGACAATCGAACTTGTGCATTTTCAATCAACGGAAAGAAATACCCTACAGTTTCTACTTGGACAAACCTCCCATCGAAAGTATATCCAATGGCATCCTTAAGATATCCTGGAAGGTTTCGTATTCGATTTCATGATTTATGAAAAAAATTGTCACTATTTTTTAATATGGAATTATAAGGAAATCTTCATTAAAGAAATAAGAACAATTGTTCAAAATTTTTTATTTTATTTATTTTTTTTTAAGATCACATAACTATGTATATTAAGTTTTTTTAGATTATTTGTAATATAAGAAAGATAAGATTAATAAAAGTAAGTAATACTGTGATGTTTCACCGAGATTACCACTTATGCCCTAGAAAAAGTACGACAGTATTTTACGTTTGCCACTAACGAAATAACCCTAGCAACTGCGCGTTCAATTTTTTACTAACAAATTATTAAATTTCGTCCGATTACTTTGAATTTCAGGAAAGGTTTGAATAAAATTCAATTTATCCATTTTCAAGAATTTGATAAAATTTTTTTTCTATTCTATTTCATCTCTAAAAATTTTCTTGTAATGAACTTGCAATAACTGTGTACGATCTTAGTATGCACACCTGTACAAATATACTGTACGAAACTTGTATGATATTTTTCATATTTACATGAATATCAATTCACTGTTTTATGTAAGAAAAATAACCGTGAAACGAATGGATTATCATAAAATAGCAATAAAATTAACTTGGAAAAATTAAAATTTTACGCAAACGACTTTAAAATTTTTGAATTTCTTATGGTTGCAGTGCAACGAATTATTTTGTTTTTGTGGATAAAAAAGAATTAATTTTATAAAACTAATTTTGAAAGATAAATTTATTGTTATGGTATCACACACGTTATTCTCACATGTATTGTGAATTTTAGTTGCATTATGCATCATTATCTTTTATATTTTCTTTCTATGGAATAATTATATACAAATTTGAAATCAAAATAAGGGAAAGATCGATTTAATTTATGTAAATAACGTAAGATAAAAGGTTTTTTATCCCTTATCACGTGAATTGCATAATACGGCAAAGTTGTTTTAGTTTGCGCCATACATAATGTTGTTGCAAGCACATGAGTTAATATTTTTGCATTGCATAACATGTGCATTCCAAACTTTTCAAACATTAAAATTATAATTTAAAAAAATTTAAAAAAAAAAAAAATTAAACTCTCGGTCGGGGAATTGAACCCCGGTCTCCCGCGGTCTGGATGTCCTGACAGGCGGGGATACTAACCACTATACTAACCGAGACTTGGCTGATGATTAACACAAAATTTTAGAATACTTAAATAATTTAATAATTTACCAGGTCAATAATGTTGGTCACATGACTATAAATTTTTTTTTTTTTTTACATTCTGTCGCTGCAAACTTTTCAAATGTGCAAGTTGTTTAGCGAATTTATCTTCTTTTTTTTTCTTTTCTCTTTCGTTTTTCTTTCTCTTTTTATGTTTGTTCTTTACATTTTTCTTTTTTTTTTTTTTTTTTTAAAAAAAAAAAAGCCTTGCAGATCAACTTTATTCATTACATTCATTACATGTGTACCAAAACAAAATGTCACCTTATGCATGGATGTAACTAACACAAAAATCAGGATTGTACTAAACTTATTGTGCCACCTTATTCATTTTTAATTTTAATAATTTTGCATAGGAAATATGCAACAAAATGCACGATTTTTTTAATTAAAAATCTTTTGTAACGATACAAAACAATTAATTAAAAGGTCCATGTGTTATGTTGTTACTAGTTATTAATTGGCGCAGTCGTTTGGTCACGTGTAATATTACAAAGAATAAAAATTAACAAATTACTTTTGAAAGAAGAATTTTTTTTTTTTAGAATTGTAA